CTCAGGACAGAGATAAATGGAAGGAGCTTGTATGTGGCCTATACCCTGCCAGGGGTGAGGAAGGCATTGATGATGATGATGATGCAGCATGCCAATTTAAAACGAAATAAATTCTGCATCATATTACACAATAATATTTCATCTTTGTCAATTAATAGACGCCCGAGATATGGTCGCTCAAAAGTGACCTTAAAATTGGTCGCTTTTAATAAGCACAAGGGGGATATCCCAAAGACTGCCGTTTAGAGAAAATCGAAGGTAAAGTTTTTGCCCCTTGTTCAGTTTCTTTAAAAGACAAGGAGAGTTCTCTCTATAACCAAAACAAATATACACACCAATGAAACCAAACTTCTCCTATAGGTAGGGCAATCCCCACTTTTGGTGTAGGTCAAGATTTCTGGAAACCTCCGGAATCTGGGTTAGCCCGCTGTCCTTAAAAGCGACCAATAGTTGTTCGAGATCCAAGAAACGCAAAGGTCTCTCGTGTGCAAGAGGTTAAGGTGTTTGCCTCCCATTCGATAGGTCCCGGGTTCGAATCCGGATAGCGACGAATTTATATATTTTTAAAAATTGTCTCCTTTCATATCCTTTCCTGCTCTCAAACAGTGTTGTGTCGTCTGCTTTCGTCTCCACTTTCTGCCCCCACCCCCCTCACCTCCTTTTCCCCCACCTCTGGGCTCCTGACTCTTTCTGCAGCCTTTCTACTGTTTCTCCTTTTCTCCTTCTTACGGCTGTCTTTCTGCCACACCCCTGATCTTATGGTAGGAAAGATCTACACCTAGGCTTCCCGGACAAGGACGAACATTCTCAGAAGTCCTGTGTGCAAGTTGCGCAAGATAAAGATCCCTTGATGGTCCAAAACCGATAAGAGTAGGCTTCGGCCGCCACCCAGACAAAATTCAAAATTCCCGTTCAACTGAAAATGGTTAATGTGTCCCACGTGCTCATACGACCTTATGTAGTTGCGAGCGCCGTAAAACATTTACCAAAAAGTTTTTTTGTTTTTTTTAAAATACCACCTTCCTCCCAGATCTATGCTGTTCAACGACTCTGCTGACGTCACCATCAACGGGCAAGGTTTCCACATTGGGCTGGGCATCAGCGGCCTGGCTCTCTCCCCAGATTTTAACTATCTCTACTGGACCTGCCTCTGGAGTGACCGGCTCTACCAGGTGTGTGCAGATTGGGCTCGTCTTTTCTTTTTTTTTTACTTATCTTTTGTGTCATAATTGAGAGGGGAAATGTGTGTCTTTATCTAAGACAGGTGTGTCAGTCTGTGTCACTGTTATGTAACAAGTGTCATTGTCACGTTGTGCTCATGTTTGATGGACTTTAAAGCAGGTTCTAGTGTAGTTGTTATTATTATTATTATTAT